TAATCTCTATAATGCATTCAAAATCCATTGGAAGCAAAAAAAAAATCAGTAGTACAACAAATAACGTCATCTTTGACATCTAAATTAATGTGTCTGATCAGCAACTTGAAAATATAAGTAAACTAAATTAGTACACTTCCAATTTTGCTCAAAAATACAATTTCACCTTTTATCAAGTCACACAATCAATAGAAGAGATATGTCTTCAGACACATCACACTCAATAATAACCCTAATTAATCATTCATTCACTTTGCTTTGGTTTAGTTGCTTATTTTTCAGGGGTCACCACAACAGAATGAACCGCCAACTAATCCAGCATGTTTTATGCAGCCGATGCCCTTCCAGCTGCAACCCAGTACTGGGAAACACCCATACACTCACAATTTAGCTTATTCAATTCCCCTCTAGCGCATGTGTCTGTGACGGAAACTGGAGCACCCGGAGGATGCCACGCCAACATGGGGAGAACTTGCAAACTACACACAGAAACACCAACTGACCCAGCCGGGATTCGAACCAACGACCTTCTTGCTGTCAGGCCGCAGTGCTAACCACTGAGCTACCCAGCAGCCCCTAATTAACCAATCAGCAAATCAAGTGGAAAAAAAAAGAATACAAAAATCAAGAAAAGCTAAATATACACAAAATAATAATTAAGATTAGTTTAACTACTAACACTATATATATAATGACCAGAACATACATGTAAAATACATTTAACATATTATACATGTAATATATATTTATTAATATGACATAAAATATTTAATCATTAAAAAAATTAGATAATAATGAAAATTAAGATGCTTCTACAGGGGTCACCAATCTCGTTCCTGGAGGTCCGGTGCACTGCAGGGTTTAGCTCCAACTTGCCTCAACACACCTGCCTGGGTGTTTCAAGATATACCTAGTAAGACCTTGATTAGCTTGTTCAGGTGTGTTTGATTAGAGTTGGAGCTAAAATCTGCAGCACACCGGCCCTCCAGGAACAAGTTTGGTGACCCCTGTACTACAACTACTACGATTTTTATTATTTCTATTTTTGAAATATTTACATCGAGTGTCTTTGTTCTAGTTTTGTTCCCTAAAATGTTCCCATCTTTTCAGTCACAGCTATGAGAGTAAAACTTGACTTTCTCCTTCCTACATGTCTAAGAATGCAGGAATGCAGGAGAAGCCACTGATGCTACGACATTTACTGTAGTCGCAGTGACACGAGCCGTACAACAGGCACATATTTAGTTTGGATTTCTCAGATAAAAAAAAAAACTTCCAATCAGATAAAAACTTAATAGCAAAGAGATATTTTTTGGACATTTACTGCACAATAACTTTGTTATATTAAATAATATTATTCAATTTTAGAGTCTCTGAATGTCAAGTGAAATAGATAAAGTTGACTGGCAAGATATGGGATTTACAGCTTCTTTCAGTAATTGCTGGTCCATTCCTCTGTGGTAGGATAAACCAGGGACAAAGCCGAAGGAGAGCGAGTGGGATTCTTTCAGCCCTAATTCTTTGAAATCTCAAAAAAGCATTTAATTAATGCATTTAATGCATTTAATTAAATATGTGTATCCGCTGTGTTAAACACACGCAAATAAATATTTTGTTCTTGCTCGTTAAAACTACTTATTTAAATTGAGTTGAAACAACACAATTCTTGAGATTTCATTGGGACAACTTAATTATTTTATGTTCACTCCACATAAGTTTGCTTAAAGTGTTAAGCTAACTTAATTTGTGTTGGGACTACATGAATGAATTGTGTGGAACCCTGCACTTTTTACAGTGTATGCTGGATGAGTTGGCGGTTCATTCCGTTGTGGCAACGCCTGATTAATGAGGGGACTAAGCCGAAAAGAAAGTGAATGAATGAATAAATAAATAAAAGCTGGTTTGTTTCAACCCAATGTTAGTTCAATGCACAATGAACTTGAGTTAAAATGTACACTCAAAAAACAAATATTTGTTTACTTGTTCAAACTACTTAATTAAAATGAGCTGAAACAACACAATTCTTGAGATTTCATTGGACAACTTAATTTGTTTATGTTTAATCCACATACATTTGTTAAAAGTGTTAAGTTAACTTAATTTGTGTTGGTACAATATGAGTGAATTGTGTGGAACCCTGCACTTTGTACAGTGTAATTGCATTTAATAAAAATAATAATAAAAAAACACAATGTTTGTCTATATTTGACCCAGTGCTAGGTTAATACAACCCAGTATTTTGTATAAGTTAACCTGGCAAACATGATACTATTACATGCTTACATTCTACATTTTCCCAGCATCATTTACAAACAATCAGCTTGCTTGCATAACAGAAAGAGTCGTTTGATTTGTACTTCTTAAAGAAAAGCCAAAATATGCCCATTTTTTATTTCATACTCAAGAAAATGCTTCTGGGTTCAATTTGGACATTTTTAATGTGACATTTTAACCTACACAGAAAAGTGTTGCATGCAAAACTGTTGCAAACAATTTATTTGTGTTGAATTTAAACAAACAAATTTAATTTAATAAAGTTCAACTTAATTTGTTTGTTTAAATTCAACACAATTAAATTGTTTACAACCACCTAACATAAAAAAGAGCAAATCCAAGGAATCATCTTTGAATCATTTTTTTCAGCAACTGATATGGTTTTATCCACATTTACCTAATATTGGGTTAAAAGAACCCAGAATTAATTAGCATATGACATGATTTTTATTGCATAACCAACCAGTAATGCGATAGGACTCTTGTTGTTTTAGGTTAAGCATGCACTGTAGAGCAAATACTGGTTTGTTTTAATCCAACATTGGGTCAAATATTGACAAACCCAATAGTGGGTCAATGTTTAAATTCAATTTAAATGGCATATATGTCCATATTTGACTAAACCTTGGGTTAATACCACCCAGCATTCTTTAGAGTGTCATCAACAAATGCAATATACTGTGGTTAATGACTGAGCAATGCGATTTACACAACTCAACCGACATGCACACAATGTTGTGAAAATATGTTGCCACTTATTATTATGTGCAGCAGAAAAGATCACAAATCATGAGGACACATGTACACAGTAAAAAATGTCCACAAATGAGCACTTTTCTGTGTTTTGTGATTCATGATTTAGTTTTTCCATGTTTATTTATGCTTTTGAATTGCATTACGGGAGCTTGATCCTTCATCCAGCAACTTTTAATCTTGAAAAACTTTTAAAAAGTGACATGGTTAATAAGAATTTTCAATATGCATATTCTGATAAAAGACTTAGCATAGACATTTAGTTACATTTAATTAAATAAAGTATAGAAACATATGTCACGTCATGCACATAAAAAATACAATTAGTTAAAAAAGTGAGTAAACTCATTGCTTTCAAAGTGATTAGTTGGCTTTACTTAATAAAGTGAGTAAACTTGTTGCCTTTAAAGTGATTAGTTGACTTAATAAAGTGAGTAAATCTGTTGCTTTAAAATTATTAAGTAAATTAACTATATAAAATTAGGTCAACTTAACAGTTACAAGTTAAAACTTGTTGCTTTTAACATTTACTCACTTTTTTAAAAATAAAATAATTGCTTTTTACAGTGTATCATTTACTTTGTGGGGTGTCACAGTGGCACAGTGGGTAGCACAATCACAGCAAGACCTTCACAGCAAGAAGGTTGCTAGTTTGAGCCCATTCGAGCCCTGGCTGAGTCAGTTGGTGTTTCTGTGTGGAGTTTGCATGTTCTCCCCATGTTGGCGTGCGATTTCCTCCGGGTGCTCAGGTTTCCTCCACAGTCCAAACACATGCGCTGTAGAGGAATTGAATAAGCTAAATTGTGTGTAAATGCAAGAGTGTATGGGTGTTTCCCAGTGTTGGGTGGCGGCTGGAAGGGCATCCGCTTCGTAAAACATTTGCTGAATAAGTTGTCGGTTCATTCCGCTGTGGCATCCCCTGATTAATAAAGGGACTAAGCTGAAAAGAAAACGAGTGAATGGATGAATTTACTTTGCAACAACAACACTGTACAGTAATTTATTTGAACATTAAATTTAAGTCATCTACAACATCTATATTACGATTAGCCTATCGGCTACTAATAAATATTAATATAAAATATTAGAATTTTTAGAAACTTAAGAAACATTACAGACTGTAAAATACATTTTTGCTGCCTTAAATTTTTAGTTTTAGTTGAATCAAATGAACTTTTCAAGTTTATCTCAACTTATATTAATCAATTTGACTAAAAATACAGTATAATTTAAAAAGTCAAACTTTGTAAAACCTAAAAAAAACTTGAAACCAGATTAACTTATTAAAATGAGTTAAAGAAATATAAATTATTTGTTGTCTAGACTTTAGTAATTATACAGTGTAAAGTGATATATTGAGTATAGTTGGTGTTGCATATTATACACAAACCTTGTAATGAACTGCTAGTCAGTTATTTTACACACTTATTTCTCTCTATATTACTTTTTATGCATTATAATATTTTAAACTGCTAAAATAACAATAAAAGTCACTTTGGTAAACAGTAGAGTTGAATTTTCAACATCAGAAGAGGACAGAGCAGAGATCAACATCCCATAATACAATTCACCACCGCAAATAAACACTTGTGAATCACACAAATGTTGATTAACAGATATTTTTACAGTGTAGAGCATCAGCAGCGGAGGTTTCGCTCATCGCAGGTGTGTTGTCTGATAAACGCACGCCACCTGCTTTCCTCAGGTGAAATTCTTCTGCGAGCAAAGGTGAGCAAGCGCGCAGGTGAACCAACAAACACACTGTGACGAAACCCGTCTGCAATCAACAAACCCATTCATCATCATCATCTCAGATCTCAGATGTTTGTCCATATGCGCGCGACCGCTTTATTATTTCAAAACAGGGTGTGCATGATCCCGGTGTTTTTGTGACTTGATTTTAAGACTTAAAGACAGGCCCCGCCCCTGTAGGCTTTCCCCGGAGGTGAGCGCCTATATTAGCCTGCCGACAGCCGCTCGGGATGTCAATGCACTCATCATCTGCAACAGGTAGCTACACCGCCCTGTCACTCTTCGAACTTTCTGAAGCTCTGCCAATGAAACTGGAGGTTTTCTGCGGGAGTCACTACGACTCCAAGCCTGCGGAGTTGTGCAGCGATGCTGAGGGGAGCATCCCATCGCCGGTGTCCGCAGAGGAGGAGCTGGGCTCGGATGGAGACTGCGTGGCGCACAGTCCGGCACCTGTCGCCGACACCAAAGGCAAACCCTACACTCGGAGACCCAAACCTCCATACTCTTACATCGCACTTATCGCCATGGCCATCCGAGACTCCAACTCCGGCCGACTCACTCTAGCCGAAATCAACGACTACCTCATGAAGAAGTTCCCGTTTTTTAGAGGCAGCTACACCGGCTGGAGGAACTCAGTGCGCCATAATCTGTCTCTAAACGACTGCTTTCTTAAGGTCTTAAGGGATCCTTCGAGACCGTGGGGAAAGGACAATTACTGGATGCTGAACCCGCACAGCGAGTACACCTTCGCGGACGGAGTGTTTCGCAGAAGGAGAAAGCGCATTAGTAAAAAAACCGGCAGGGAGCCAGAGGGGCCGGTGCAAACCCACGCATTGGACAGCAATGACTCCATCGCTACGCCTCCTTCGAGCGGAAAGTTCACCAGTTCTTTCGCCATTGAGAGCATCCTCAGTCGACCCTTCAGAAGGGAGGACCGCCCCGTGCTCAGCCCTGACACCTGGCCGGGGGGAGTGGACACTGTGCTGCCGTATGTCATGCTTCGATCCTATGGTGCCCTGGAGGACCCTTCCATGAGCCGCCGACAGCGCGACTTTTTCGCATTCCAGCTGCCGCCTGAGTGCCTCTCAATCCCGCATACGAGCGCGGCGGTGCCCGCGCCTGCAACCGCGGGATATCACCCGTTCAAAATTGACTATTTGTTGTCGTAACATTGGGTACTTTGTGATGGGGAACTTCGGCACTTTCTACAGCACTCGTGACTTGAAAGAGACATTGTGCAAGATACATTTCATTCGACTGCATTTTTAAGAATCGTTCTGAACCTTTAATATGCACCACGAAAACAAGTGAACTCAAAGTTGTGAACTATTTAAGTCTATTCTATTTTGTACTGTCCTACTGAATGATTAAGTCGTTTCCGTGTATTTATTTGTCATATTTTGTGTTTGTTCTGTGTTAAACCAGCGGTGCCTCAAACGATGATGCCTTCATTTCAGATTTAATACTCAAGATGAACTATATGAGAGGCGAGCTCAGTTTGTGAGGCTCCTGCATCAAACTTGTAAACTGGAATTGTTTAAGCAATTGTTTTTCTGACAAAATGCACGCGCATTTTATATTGAACAATAAAATTGTTTGTTTTTTTAAATGAACGAACTGGTTTTCTGATCGATCACGGTAGTTCACAGTTATCTTTTGCTGTGGTTTATATGCAAATATGACGTGCATATTGACAACTCATATGACCTATATTATTTGCATAATTGTCGATGCACTTCGAGACTTGGAATTGCAGTATAATTTATAAAAGAATAAAATTGCATGCTCATTTTCAACCAGTTTTCTCCCAGAAAATAAACCCCCAGATAGTTTTAGAATCAACATATGTATGCTATATTTTCACAATAACTCCGCTTGACAGTTTCCCACGCATCAGCGCGTTTATTAGAAGCAATTGCGAGATTGCAGTGATGCCGCAGGATGAAGCACAATCTGTTTGAATAGTAAATTAAATTCACGTGAGACTCAGAGTTTCACATGTGTTGCCACGAGCTGTCCACGGTCCTGAAGATACGGTGACATAACTTCGTTTTGATGGACAGGTATAGTGCTTTACCAATGAGATAAGGAGAAGGTGCTGAAATTGTAAGCAAAATCCATCTGATCCTGCGTTAAACAATGCCTACTTTAAAAACACATGTCAAAACACATTTTAAAGTCATATAGCGTTTGTATAAGTGCTAATTATGCTATTAATACTACCGCTCATTTTTGTAAACAAATGTTATAAAATTAGGATGTTTGCAGCAATGCAACTCACAAAAAGGATGCGTTGTTGTAACACTTTTGGGTCAATTATGGACAAAAACAACTCTGGGTTTATTTTAAAAAGGGTAATTTAAATTTAATTGAAAAAATGAACCATATTTGACAGGTTTGGTTACGACAATTCAACATTTTTAAGGGGCATAAAATAATATATTTTGTGTTTCTCAAAGAACCTTCCTCGAGTCTAATCTTTAATAATCATTTTAATAATTATAATAATATGTAATAAATATAATAATAATAATAATAATAATAATAATAATAATAGTTAACGCAAACCGCTTAAATCAACACTTATATAAGCAATTATGAAAGCAATAAACTGAAGTTAATGGAGTGAGAAAAGGGACAATTCGCATGGGCAGAATAATCGACATTTAATAGATCAAATGTCCTTCGTAGTTCATTCACACTGAATAAATAAATGAGTCACAAATGTTTACAAAAAATAATTGAAATCGACATCATACACGTCAGCTGTGCACGGCATGCTCTTGCATACCTCTCGCATCATGCGTATTAGGTGTAGCACGTGACGTCATGGAGTAAGTCATCACCACCAATCAAACTGACATGGCCTGTTGTCATTCACAGTGTTTAAAGAGACAACTGGAGAGACTATACTGCAACCTACAGGATGCAATGCACAATATCGTCCTACATAACAGACCAGAGTGCTATATTTTGCTTGCACAGTGTTATTGTTCTTCATTAAATATTGCTTGACTGCATATTTATTAGACATCCAATATTTATCTATTTACAATTTCATCATTTTCCTAATATCAAAATGAACATGCAGGGAAATTTGTTAAAAAATCCAACGTCAGCAGTTCCCCACAGAGCCCAAATCTTTGTTATCATCATGCAGTTTATTTGTTTGATAGCAGTTTAAACAATTGCTGAAGTTGCTCGACTTGTGAGGGGGAGAAACATTCGTCATTCGTAGGCGCCTCGAGATCTCAGCGCTTTGTTTTTTTTTTCTCCTGAGTTTCCCCGAGAGCGGACACAGATATATTTAGCAATTCAATATTTATATTTTCTGTCCAGAACTGCAAATATCCGTCCCCCGAAGTGCCTCCTGTCACGCGGATAGAGAAAAACCTCTAATATCGGCATGTTTTACAGCTCCTCGCCGCATTCGGGTGGATTCGACGTCAATTTGTCGCCTTTATTTAAAAGGTCACCAAGAGGAATCCAGCAGTCTGGTATAACATTATTATCCCCGCGACGAGAGGCTGCGGTGTTAAACCTTCAAAGTCCTTCACGTATTTTTCTTTTGCACCGAGAACGGCTTTTTCCAAGCCAAGCGTGCATCCTGAACGCAGCAGGGATAGTGGGTTTGATGTTGCCGGGAATTCTGCAGCGATTATTTTCTTTACCTTTATTGTTATGACGAGGGCTGATTTTATCTCCAGCTTCCTTTTGTTGTCTTTGATAAAGATGTGAGGCGGCTTGTTTCGGCCTATGAAGCATGCTTGTGAAAATTGCCCTCGGAATCACAGCATTCGTATATTTTAGTGTGCGAATTCACGAGGAAACCGAATTGTGGAAGAAGAAAAAAAGACTAATTGGTCTGTAGGTCTATTGTTTAATCTGTAAGAGGCTCTAACCAGTAAACAGTAGTGGAGTCGATTGGTTTACAGAACAAATAAATATACACGCGCAAAGAATTGTTTTAAATAATCACTGACACGTGTAATGATAAAACAAAATCTGTTAATTATAGAACCGACTACTAAAATAGTTAATAGTACACTTTAAAAAAGGGTTGGGTACGTTTAAATTGAGTACAAATTTGGGTAAAAACATAGACAAAACTCAGCCACTGGGTTACAAATGTTATTAACTCAGCAGTTGAGTTTGTCCATATTTTAGCCGAAATTGAGTTGAAATAAGCATCTTTCAATATATATAGACTTATATTTTTGTTTATTTTTTATTATTATTTGTCGATCTATAAGTTGGTATTGATATTATTATACTCTAGAAATGCTGGCTTGTTTTAACTTAACGCTGAGACAAATATAGAAAAGGCTAAACTTTGCATGGATAAATGTTTATTGTTATCTAAACGGTTGGGTTTGTCCGTAAACTTCAGTATAAACAAGCTAGCATTTTAGAGTTTTTACCATTAAAAACTCAAATTATTATTATTATTATTATTATTATTATTATTATTATTATTATTATTATCATTATCATAATTATTATTATTATCATCACCCTCAGGGGTGGATTTAGAGATTTTGGGGCCCTAAGCAAGTCCATAGTTCCAAAGTCCTGAAATGCACCCTTTCAGCTTTTATTTAATATTTACTTATATTTCTGATTTTTATATCACTAAATCTTCTTTTCGACATTTTAAATAAATGCAATTTTGAATGATTATTTTTCTTAAATTGATTTTCATCTAAAAATTATATATATATTATACATATATATATAGTTTGACTGCTGGATTGCTCCACGATTAATATTTTATTTTGTGATATTATTATTACATAATACATTACTATAATAATATCATATTTGATTGTATATTAAATAATATTTAATTACGTTAAAACTGTATTTGTTTAACTCCCACCATACAAAATATGGTAGAAAACGATGTTATATTTTATGGTTATAATTTATACTTAGATATGAGGGCTGCTTACCTCGCTTATTAGTTGAATCCACCCCTGATCACCAGAAAAGGTTAGGGTGCATTAACTCAACGCTATAGGTCAAATACGGAAAAACCCAACAGTTGGTTTAAAATTTTTATTTAATTTTTTTTATTGAACCAACGTTGGCTTTGTCCATCTTTCAAAACAGAATTTTAGTGATTTTATCATTATTATTCGACTCCAACCGTTTAATAAATTAATCTATATTAATTGGGCAACAAAAAAAATTATTTTATGAATTACATTTTTAAATTAAGTCAAGCGCACTTTTGCAATTTGATGTTGTTTTTTAGACTAATCATGAATGTTTTTCTGTACTGGAGACATTTTTTTCATACGGCCAATTAAGCTCACTTTCCACAATTAATTAGTCCTCCTCTCGGGGGGGATGATAGGGGTCCGGGACGGTAAACTGACACTGCGCTGTGTGTGGTATCCAAGCACTGGCGCGGCGGCTGATGGAAAAAGCCTGCTTCCACTCATGTCAAAATCATTTATCCAGAACAGCCCTTTACAAGAACTTGTATACACTTAGGAGAGGGACTCTTTTTTTTCGCCCACCCCCATCGTGCGTACTTGAAAAGATGCTCAACCAGGTCACAATCTTACGTGTTCACATTCTTCTCTCCTTGGCGAAGCAATGAACTCTTAGTTCGCGCGTTGTCTTTAGCGAAAAGTGCATGTTTTTTTTTTTACATTTCAGCCTCCTATTTTCCAGTGCCAGAGCTCTCACCAAAACACGCCATTAATTACTGGAGGCCTGACAGCTTTAGCCCCGGTGTTTGGCGTGTGGCGCTGTTGATTGAAACGTCGGACTAGGCTTGATAAATGGCGTTATTGCGTGTATTTAGGTTGTCAGAGGGGAGGTGGGGAGTCTCTCTACTCGGACTCTGCACAGCCTCCTGCCAGACCGATAGCTGGAGGCATGCCAGACATGGAAAGGGGTGGGTCCCACAGTTTGAGGAGATTTTTTGGAGGAATTTAGTGGGGATCTAGGGGGCAGAGAGAGATTTACGAATTGATAGGTGGTCGCGTTTTGTTTGGCCGCACGTCTTTGCGCCAGAGGACTCTGGAGCATTGAGTTTCCTTCTCTTAAAGGATTAGTCCTCGCGATGGCCACCAAGAGACTAAGGAGGGGTCGCTATACTGGCGACACACAGCTGGTGGCTTCAGCTAGGAGCGCGTCCTGCGAGCACAACACAATCCTGGCGCACTGACCTCGCGGAGATTTGTGGAGCACCAGTCCCTTTACATATTCGATTTTCATCCTGAACCGCATCTGACTTCCGTTTCTGAAGACTGACCGAGTCCTTTATTCATCCAGCATTTGCGATGACCACTGAAAGCGCGCAGCAGCAGCTGGACCCGCCGCCTCCCCTCAGGTCCAGCCCGGCATCCAACAGCATGCACTCGGCTCTCCAAAACACGCAGACAGTGCTGGAAAGCACCACTGCCACCGGCAATAAAGGCAAGAAGTCCAATTCAGGCATGAGACGCCCAGAGAAGCCGCCTTATTCCTACATCGCCCTGATAGTCATGGCGATCCAGAGCTCTCCGACAAAAAGGTTGACGCTGAGTGAAATCTACCAGTTCCTCCAGGCTCGCTTCCCTTTCTTTAGGGGTTCCTACCAAGGCTGGAAGAACTCAGTCAGACACAATCTGTCTCTCAACGAGTGTTTCATCAAGCTGCCCAAGGGCCTCGGGAGGCCGGGTAAAGGTCACTACTGGACCATAGATCCCGGGAGCGAGTTCATGTTCGAGGAGGGCTCTTTTCGACGCAGGCCTCGCGGATTCCGAAGGAAATGCCAAGCTCTCAAACCGATGTACCGGATGATGAACGGAATCGGCTTCGGCGCTTCAATGCTGCCGCAAAACTTCGACTTCCAGTCGCCCTCCGCATCACTGGCCTGCCACGCCAACAGCTACAATCTGGACATGATGAGCAACGCGGTGCAGGGCGTCCACGCGGGATACGACGGCCTCGGTGCTGGTCACCACGTCTCACACATGTCTCCCAGTACAGGCTCTACGTACATGACCGCGTGCCAAGTGGCCTCTAACGGAGAGTACGGGCCAGACAGCAGCAACAGCCCGCTGCACTCCCCGCCGACCATGAGTGGCTCTCTGGAGTGCCATTCGCCGTACGGAGCCGCTTCGGCTCATTGGGCCTCATCAGGTGTGTCTCCTTACATTAAACAGCAGCCACTGTCCTCCAGCAGCCCGACCTCCTCTGGATTACACTCCAGTATGCCTCCGTATTCTCTGGAGCAAAGCTATCTGCATCACAACGGCAGAGACTCGGCTGACATCTCAGGTAAAGCCGCTTTTACACGCACGCGCTCCATAAGTGTTCACATTTCCACCAAGCTTAATAATTCAGTTTAATGATCGCAAAGTTAATGCATTAGCTCTTATTTTCAAATTAGCATACATATCCAAGATTTTAAATGCTGACAATTTATGCACAAAAATTATATTATCTTAGACAGTATCTTAGGCTGTTTTGGGGCAATCTCGTTGTGTAATAATTTAAACCGTTTATATTTTCGATGCATCTGTGCAACAGAGTTTCAGTGATTAATAAACGCTTAAGTTTATTCTGTACACATGTTTCTTACATTTTCTATATTATTTAAACACAGTGGATTCATTTTTATTAATTTACAGTCATGCAAAAACTGTTTTCAAATTCACTCAAACTAGGAAAATGGTGCAAATTATTTTCAGAGGCCTACGTTTGACACGTGTTTAGGGAGCATATGAGATTGGTGCATTTAATTGAAATCTTGGCAAGTTACACATTTTAGATCATTGTCCTACAATGCTCTTTTGGAGAAACAATCTATCTAGGAAAATAAACGTGTGACGCAGACGGCCTTTGTTGCGCTGTTTGGGATTTTTCTTTCCATGATTACTTAAGGTCAAGAAAATTTTCCCTTCATTGCCAATGGATTGCTAATGCAACACCAATATTACTTCAAATTAAAAGAGCGTTTTTACACGATTGGTCTATAGTCAGTACGGGCTGTTTTAACAGTGAAGATGTGTTTATTTCTATCTTTTAAAATTTAAATAAAATAGGTACAATGCTGTTTGTTTAACCCAATTGATCAAGCATGGAACTCAACATTGGGTTATTTGTAAAATTAAATTAAGATTGCATTTTTTGTTTACATGTTAAGTTTGGGTTATCACATCATTCTTTAAGAGAGTACTGGGAAATGTATCGATTATTGCGTAAACAACAATGGGAATAATATTGACAGGCTACTGGATTCATTTATATTTACAGAAAACACTGACTTTTTGTTTTAAGTGACGGGCTTAATATGAAATATCTAAAATACTTTGTGCTTGTAAATCCCCAATCATATTAAACTGCTATAGAAAGACTGACACCTGAGGAGATTGCAAAGCCAAGTAATGTATGTAACGGAAAATACGTAGCAATAATGATTTCTTTTGTTGTTGTTGTTGTTTTATTTTAGGGATGTCTCGATATCAGTCCCACTCATCGCCAGTCTGTGACAGAAAAGACTTTGTGCTGAACTTCAACGGCATTACGTCGTTTCATCCGTCCACCAGTGGATCCTACTATCATCATCAGCTACACCATCACCAGGGAGTGTGTCAAGATGTAAAGCCATGCGTTATGTAATTTAAAGTATGACAAGCAGCGAAAAAAAACACAAGGACTGAGCCCGCAAATGACGAGAACCGGAAATAAGAAGAATAAATAAGGTTAACGGAAGACGAAGTGATGCCGTCCATCTCCGTATTTAAGGAGAAACTCTATGAAGGAAGAAACGAACTGACCCGAAGCCAATATAGGCCAGATGGAGAGATAGAGAGAGCTTTCTGTTTGTTGGAAAGTCGGACATATTTTACTATCTTGGACAAACCTCTAATCGTCTACAAATACACGCGTTGATAAACAACGTTTTTATCAATCTTGACCACATTTTCAGTGTGGATGAGGGGGTATGGTGTTCATTAAGTGAGCACAGTAAACCGGTGGTAAAATTAATCCTTGTTATTTTTAGATGCACTCAGCAACACCGCGAAATACTGAATTTAGAGTTCGGTGGGATTTGATGCATGCCACAAACCCGCTTGAATACAAGATATTTTGTTTGTCTAAACCTTATTTGTGTGTGTTTCTTTTCGACAGCTCTTTAATGATTCCACCTCTTATATTTTCAGGGGTGAGTGTGTAGGTCTGAGGGTAATTAATGTGTTAGAGGCCTGCGAAAACCATAACAGAATAATAATGATTGCACTTTTGTCGGCTTGACAAGTCGACAAATTACAGTTATGTACAGTACAATAAAGCGATGTATTCTCAAGACATAAAAGTCTAGCCTATTTATTTACTGCTAAATGTTTAAATGAGTTCGACACATTCTTGTGTACAATAAAAAATAAAGGTTTTAAAGACGAAGCTTTAAAATATATTCAATCTTTTCTTTTAGCGGAAAATCTTTAGATTATTAAAAACGTCTCCACATTGAGAAGTGGTTTAGAAAAAAACGATGGTTGTAGAAACTCTTAGCAGAAATGTTTTTAGGATAACCAAACATGCATTTTTCTCGCTATGGCATCACTGCATCCCATTAAAACTTTATTTTTTGAGTGTATGTTGGTTAATCAAAAATATAAAAATCATTTAAAACATTTTACCGATCTTTGCAAAATTAAGAATATTGCCTCAACAACAGAAACTTAACTTATGAAATATTTTATCCAGCAGCATTTAGTTTTCATTTACATAGGAAATGGTATGCGTCCTTGTACTTACTATAGTAATTGCAATACACAGTTATGCAACTAACCCGCATTCTATCTTTAAAAGTGAGCTACCTATTTATTATTACTCAGTATAGATAGTTAAACTGTGGCAAGGACCTATAAAGTTCAACCAAACGATACACATCCTAATAATACGTTCTTCGTGAGAAAATAAACTCGTTTATTGTCTATTAACGCAACGAATAAAACAAAGAGAAGCTAAGTAATTAATTAATTGGAAACTTGTAACTCGATCGGAAGAGTATGCACACATTAAACACACATACAAAAGGCAATAAACAATGTAATGTCAATTTAAAACGGTCAAAGCCTCAGTGTAAACAACACGCTAGAATCCGAATCCCGTTAATTCGGCGACAATCCGCTAAAAGCAAGGATCATTTTGAAGCTGAATTTGAGGATTATGGTAATAATTAACGAGCACACACTGAATCTAGAGAGTTAAAAAGCGTGTCGAGGTTAAATCTCAGATTAACCCTAGTTGCACATTTTTGCTCTATGCTTTTACTGCTTAAAATTCAATGTTAAACGCGGTGCGATGTCGCCATCTACTGCTAATTCAAACATTGTGCCATGCTGATAAGTCAAATGTAAATTGATGCAAAATGATGGACACACTCTCAAATATAATTCAGTGGCTCGCAGTTGCAAATAACCTCAATAAAATCCCTGAAGTAGCCAATAAATGATTTACTATTAAAAATGCTGTTGCGCACAGTTGATTTAAGTTGGGACAAAATAAAGGAACTAAGTTACTTATTAGTTTTTACACATGTAAGTAGATTAAGCATAAAATCAAGTTTCTCCACTAAAAATCCCCTCAAGAATTGTGTTTATTCGGTTCATTCTAAATAAGTATTTTAAGCAAACAGCAAACATGTTTTTTGAGTGGTTTATAATTAAAACAAGCTTATTTCAATGATTTTCCACAAATATTATTAATTAAAATTACATGTAAAATAAGAAATTAATTTTTGTATTAAACTCTGTAAAAAATGTTGGGTGCCACACAATTGACTTGTGCTGGAGCAACATGAAGTAATTTGGCTAACTTAATATTCTTTACAAATTTAAGTGGACTGAACATAAAACAATTAAGTTGAACTTAAGTTGCCTACAAAAACTTAAGAATTTGGTTATTTCAGTTCATCTTAAATGAGTAGTTTGAACAAAAAGCAAACTCATGTTATAGTGTAAACTAGTACGTCTAACGTGAATTTTCTTAAACTAAAATTCAAAGTTTAATTTTTGCCTTTTTAGTGAACTTTTTAAACTAAAATTAAACAAAAGTGTATATGCAAATTGTATAGTATTTTGTATATTTATGACATAACGATACTCAGGCTAAATAAAACTTGTTCAAACTATTTAATTTGTGTTGGGACAACTTGAATGAATTGTGTGGAACCTGCATTTTTTTACAGTGCAGTGTAAATACATTTTATTTTCCCCATTTTTAGGAGAAGAAAAAAAAATGAAAAGATTTAATTTATTGTCAGGCCTAACCTTCAGTAATTTGGTCGTAGAGTCTAAAACGTAGCCCATGCGTTTAAAATGTTAATTAATATAATCATGATTTTCATTTTTAATATACTTGACATATAAAAAGTGCATTTGTTTTATTTAGCAAACTTAAATTGCCAGGCTATATAAATCCTAATAAAATCATATTTACAGTGAAAGACAATTGCCAAAAAGTGTATTAAAAATCATTATATTTTCTTCCACAAAACTTTGCGTTATTGATTATTCCTTATATCTTAAAACGACCCAGGCTGATATTACAATTTTACTGATATTACCGAATTACAAACCTGTTACATGTGAAGCCGCATATGTTTTATCTCTGCACTCTAAAAATGCTGCGGTGTCGTTACCCAAAAAGTCAAATATGTATAACAAAACAAATGCATTAAATTTAATTTAACACTAAGGTTGGGTTTTATATTTGACTAAACACTGGGATAAACAATCCAGCATTTAAGAGTGTAGCATCTGTCTAGCCAAAAAATGCAGCACAAATTATAATTCATTAATGTCAAACTTTAATCAGTGACATGTGAATAGATATTAATAAACAATCGAGCTAATAAAGAATATTTTAGGCTTTCCTGCATTTTTAAATGGTAATGTGTAAAGCGCTAAAGACGCACCTGAGGATGGTAATAAACAATATTTGCTTTGTTTGAACATTAAAATACTGTCAATAAGGCAGACAGTCGACATGGAGAATCGTAACACGATGTAATTAAATAAGACATGTTTAAATAATGTGAGGACTTTTGAGTTTCTTGCTGGTTTCATGTCGTGTGTGTGTGAGACCACCCACATACAATAGCCTACTATAGTAATGTAGAGTAAATATAGTGCAACGCAATAACTATAGTAATAAACAAATTACCCAATACTATAGTTTTATTATACAAATATTATGCTACAATACACAATTGTACTGTAGTAACGAAATTATATTACAGCATGTATTACAATTTTTCAGTTCACTATAGATGATTTCATGGAGCATTCAATAACAAAGTGCTATAAATACGGTATAACACACTTGAGCTGGTCCAAAACACTGCAGTATTTATTATAAACCACTACAATGTTAATCCGATGGTCGACACGTCTTAAAACACAGACTTTCAGGACAAAGACTTTTCACAGGCAGGAAAAGCGTGCAGATTTACAGAAGAAGTTTATGTAATGCGCACATCCAGGATTCATGCGCGTTTTGTTGGTTAAATCTCGCGTCTGAGAGGATTTCTCTGAATAGCCGAAGTCTTTTATTAAACACAGTGTAGTCTAATAAACAACATGTCATTTCGCAAATATCTTACTTTAAGAAATAGCACAAGTTATTTGATTGTGTGCGATCTATTGTCATAACCTAATATCAGCATGCGAGAAAAACGGCTCTTAAAGCAGCTTATAGAGTGTGAAGTGCAGAAAAGCCTCCAATGGTGTACATTACTTGTACATTATAGTTATGACAGGTGTCACGGTGGCGCAGTGGGTAGCAAAATCGCCTCACAGCAGGAAGATCACTGGTTCGAGTCAGTTGTCGTTTCTGTGTGGAGTTTGTATGTTCTCCCCGTGGGTTTCCTCCCGCGTTTTCCAAGCACATACAGGTGCATTGAAGCTAAATTAGTAAATGCAAGAGTGTGGGGGTGTTTGCCAGTGTTGGGTTGCGGCTGGAAGGGCATCATCGGCGTAAAACATATGCTGGATAAATTTGTGGTTCATTCCGCTGTGGAGACCCCTGATTAACAAAGGGACTAAGCCGAAAAGAAATGAATGACTTATAGCCTAGTTATTAGTTGCTTTCTCCGTGGATTCACCCCCAAAAAGAAAATCCTCAATTATTAACCCTAATTAGCCCAAGACACAAGTGTCTTTCTTATATTGAGCGCAAAGCATTGCCAAAAATGCAGGGTTGTTGTCGTAACCCTACGTTGGGTCAAATATAGCCAAACTCTAGATTCAATTACATTTAAATTGCGCCCTTTTACCCAGTGGTGGGGTTTGACCATATTTGTCTAAACATTGGGTCACGAAAACCCAGCATTCGGAGAGTGTATAGCCAAAATACACTATTATTAAAGTCAATTGCTGTTTTATTTTTGTTTTTTCAATATTGTGTTAAACAGAAGAAAGAAACTCATGAATCATTAGAGTAGCCTAAATGAGGATTTGCATTGGATGAACTAAAACACTCAGTTAAAGTTGGGTTAAAAATACCCCAACATAACGCAACTATAGCACCTTCCCAACTATGGGTTATTTTAATTAAATATAAAATTTGCATTGGCTTATATAATTTAACCCAATGAAGGTTAAAAATAACCCAACAAAGCAGCAAATATTTGAACTCAAAGTGCACAGAGAGAGCAATCAGGCAGTACATCTAAAATACAATTAGTTTATATGTTCTTAAAATTACACTTAGCCGCATCATGACACGCTGTATATTACACTGTGTTCAATAAAACCTTTGGTCATTGAAAGAAATCCTCACATACGAGATGGAATCAACAAAACACGCACGAGTCATCAAGCACCATGTGCGCATTATTTAAGCATCTTATTTAAATTTGCAGGCCTTTCATGTCTGTTAAAAGTCTTTATGTCCTTAAAGTCATTGTTTCATGTCGATAATGGTTTTAACGGTGAGGTCGGACTGATCATTTTTAATGTTTTTGATTGATTGGCGCTGTGCTGAATCTGCAGTCTGACACCGCCATCTAGCGGCCACACTGGGAACTGATTGACAGTAGATGTGAACACCACTCTATGGTAAAAACACTCGACAGACAGCATAAAACTAACTTTAAGGAACAATTAATTAAGTTATACATTAATTAGTTAATTAAAATAATTAAATAAAATAAATATAATAATAATAATAATAATAATAATAATAATAATAATAATAATAAAATAAAATTTCCCAGAGATGGGTTGCGGCTGGAAGGGCATCTGCTGCGTAAAAACGTCCTGGATAAGTTGACGGTTCATTCCGCTGTGGCGACCCCGGATTAATAAAGGGACTAATCCGACAAGAAAATGAATAAATGAATGAAATAAAATAAATAATAATGTGTAAGGTCGGACGTCACGGTCCCCCCAAGTCCAAACGCATGCACCATATAGGTGGATTGGCTAAGCTAAATTTTTCTTAGTGTGTGTGTGTGTGTGTGTGTGAGAGAGAGAGAATGAGAGTGTATGGATGTGTCCCATCCATTAATTCACTGCTCTCGCAGCGCCCTCCAGTGCTCAAAACAATCACTTCTCGATTGTTCTGAGAATTAACTAGGTTTTTGATCAAATCTGGACACCAATTATTTAACAGCATGCTTACATTTATTAATATTAATACAGGTTAAGTTTCAGATTATTGCACATACTTAACAATGAATAACTAATAATGCATTAAACTATTGTTAATAATAATAATAATAATAATAATAATAATAATAATAATAAATGAGGTCATTGCTTTAACACATTTGATGTTTTGGGTTGACTCATCTAATGTACAGTAGTTTAGTGTTCTCGCAGCGCCCTCTAGTGTTGAAAATAGTCACTGCTTGATTGCTCTGGGGATTTTGCCCATGTTTTCAATAGTATCTGAATGCAGCCTTTATGATACAGATCAAAGTGAAGTATTTCTCACTATTAAAAGGCTGCGTCCCCATATTGTTTTGACGTCCTTTAGGTCAATCCCATCCAAACCTGTAATTCCCACCCTGATAGGTTCTTCTCTTTCCTTTTACTTTTTAGTGAGTGTGTAGGCAACAATTATATGTACTTCTTCTTGTTGTCTCCCGAAGCTTCTGCTTTGGTTTGGAATATAAATAATCACATTTCGCTCCCAGTGCGAGGCTGACCCCTAGTGGACATGTGTACTATCAGCATCTAAACACACACGCCTATTTCCCAAGACCAGGAAACACGTAATGGGAAGGAAACTGAAACTTAACTCTCTGTGACTTACATTGAGAAGAAGCTCCTTCGGTACAATGGCAGAAGCCGGCGTTTCAGTGGATCAGTTCAGCTGTCCGGTGTGTCTGGATGTGATGAAGGATCCAGTGACCATCCCGTGTGGACACAGCTACTGCATGAGCTGCATTACTGACTGCTGGAACCAGGAGGAGCTGAAGAACACTGAGGTAAAGTTCGCACATTCATTTATTTTTTAATAGTGACATAATAATAGTAATAATAATAATAATAATAATAAACCAACTTTACCTCAATGCAGAAGATCTACAGCTGCCCTCAGTGCAGACACACCTTCAGCCCCAGACCTGCTTTATTCAAGAACATAGGTAAACAAAAAAATAAGTTTTTTTTTGGCCAAAAATACATGTTAAACATTTATTGTAGTGGTGTTGTTCAGTGTTGGGTTACCGCTTTACAGGTGACGTGAGTTGTGTAATACCTTTCTATGTATTGCATTAGGCCTACTATTAAAAAATAAGCAAAAATATTTGAGTTACTTTAAGAAAATGTAATGAGAGTTACTTTTTATTTTGATTATTTACCTTAAAAATGGCTGAATTAAAATGAAGGTTGAATCCAGCACTGGATGAGGGAATGCAGGAAGAGACAGAAAGCAAGATGGCTTTGGCTTGCATTTCTGCATTGCTGGAAGTATTCTTACTATTCTGACCACACGACGAAAAGGAAAAGGCGATTATAGTCTCACTGCACACTGATTTACTGCACTAATAAGACTAAAAGTACAAAAGCAGAGTTTGTAGAGCTCTAGGCTCATACATTGCATTGGGTATTTATGTTTATTATTGGTTGATAAGCACATAGGGGGAAGCAGTGGCGCAGTAGGTAGTGCTGTCGCCTCACAGCAAGAAGGTCTCTGGGTCGCTGGTTTGAGCCTCGACTCAGTTGGCGTTTCTGTGTGGAGTTTGCATGTTCTCCCTGTGTTCGCGTGGGTTTCCTCCGGGTGCTCTGGTTTCCAACAAAGTCCAAAGACATGCGGTACAGGTGAATTGGGTAGGCTAAATTGTCCGTAGTGTATGAGTGTTTGTGAATGTGTTTGTGGATGTTTCCTAGAGATGGATTGCGGCTGGAAGGGCATCCTCTGCGTAAAAACGTGCTGGATAAGTTGGCAGTTCATTCCGCTGTGGCGACCCCAGATTAATAAAGGGACTAAGCCGACAAGAAAATGAATGTCGACACATAAAGATTTTCTTAATGTTACATCCACTGTAAAAATATCTTGGCAGTTTTCCATATTTTATGATTCATGTTTGTATTATTTTTTTTAATTTCTGCTTTTTTAATTGCATAATTGCAATGTTATGGAATCTTTATCGTTCTTTCATTAACTTTTAACCTTCAAAAGTGGTAAAACTGTGACTATTATTGTCATGTGTAATAGTTTAAAGCTATATTTTGTCCGGGTATGTGTTTGTCTATATACTATTTCTTATACATTATATTATTTCAAACTTCTAAAGTGTCAATAAAAGTCACTTCACAGTTTATATTTTGTTTCAGTGATTAGAGATTAACAGCACATAATGCAAATCACGACCCAAATAAACACAAAAAGTTTTGACCTTAAAATAGTGTTTAAATGTCGACGCCAATAGCCTAGTGGTTAGTGCGTCGACGCATAGCACTAAGGTGCTTACGGTGACCCTATTTTCATTCCTGGCTCAAGGTCCTTTACCGATCCTTCCCCTATCTCTGCTCCCCACACTTTCCTGTCTGTAAAATCTCCACTGTCCTATCCCAATATAGGTGAAAACCCCTAAAAAAAAAAAAAAATATATATATATATATATATATATATATATATATATATATATATATATATATATATATATATATATATATATACATATAAAAATGGTGTTTAAAAAATATTTAATTTTATTTACTCTAGTTGAAATAAAACAAAAAAGACTTTCTCCAGAAGAACAAATATTATCAGACATACTGTAAAAATTTCCTTGCTCTGTTAAACATCATTTGGAAAATATTAAAAAAGAAGAGAAAGAAATTCAAAGGGGGTGAATAATTCACAAGGGGTGTCCAAACTTGGTCCTGGAGGGCTGGTGTCCTGCAGATATTAGCTTCAACTTGCCTCAACACACCTGCATGGATGTTTTTAGACTGCCTGGTTAAGCTGTGGTCACACTGGGCTTTTCCTCTCATAGACTTCCATTCATACGCACGCGAATGCGTCAGACCGGAAATGCAGGGTCATGCGTCAAGTTTTGCAGGTTGCTGCTGTGCAAAGTTCAAGCTTAGTGAACTCTGACCTGCAAAATCGCATCACTTGACTGCGTGAGACCAATTGAGAATCAAAACATGACCTCTCTGGACAGAAAGGTAAAACATGGAGCAATCGCTCGCTTCTTTAAATGTCTAATCATCTTGTTTAATCCCGCCCCTTTTTGCAGCGCCATACAACAGAATTTCACGCACACTAACTCTAGTGTGACCATAGCTTAAGAGCTTGATTAGCTAGCCCCGGTGTGTCTGATTGGGGTTGGAACTAAACTTTGCAGGACACCGGCCCTCCAGGACAGAGTCTCGACATCCCTGCTGTACATCATATTATTTCAAACTTCAAATGTCAATTAAAGTCACTCTGTTAAACTGAGGAGTTGAATTTTCATCATCGAAAATAGACCGAGCAGAGATTAACATCCTAAAATGCACTGCACAACCACAGATAAACCCAAAACACCAGCGAATATAAAGAAAAGCAACTGCTCATAACAGATATTACTATACAGCATGTGAAGGCATTTCTTTCTTGGTTTGAAATTCAATATAATTATTATTTTTTTAAATGGTCTAAATTTATTTGTAGAATATATATGTGTAAATACATTTTGAAACTTATATCTGATCTATATATTTAGTGTTTGCTGAGATGATGGAGAAGCTGCAGAAGACGAAAGTTTGTGCTGCTGCTGGAGCTGGAGACGTGCAGTGTGACGTGTGCAGAAAACACAGAGCTGTTCAGTCCTGTCTGGTGTGTCTGAACTCTTACTGCCAGACTCACTTTGAGCGCCATGAAGAGTTCCACCCCGGTAAACGGCACACAGTGATCGAAGCCACCGGGAAACTGCAGGACATGATCTGCAAAAAACACCACAAGCTTCTGGAGGTTTTCTGTCGCACTGATCAGATCTGCGTTTGCATGCTGTGCATGGTGGATGAACACAGAAATCACGACACTGTGTCCACTGCATTACAGAGGACGGAGAAAGAGGTATGAGTGGGTGAAACAAAAACCTGACTTATTCACCTTCCAGAATTATGAGCCCCCCTGTATATTTTTCCCTAATTTCTGTTTAACGCAGAGAAGATTTTCAGTATCATCACATTTCTGAACATAATAGTGTTAATAACTCATCTCTAACAACTTTTTTTATTTTGTCTTTGCCATGATGACAGTAAACAATATTTGACTAGATATTCTTCAAGACACTAGTGTTCAGCTGAAAACTAGTGTCATGAAAACAAATATCTAGTTTGTTTTGTTCTTCAAAACTCATCTGAGATTTTTTGACATTGCAATAGTTCTTGTAGCTTAAACTTGCTTGGAAGCAGGATTAGATTGGGTCAGTTCAGGCAAAGATAATACTGAAAGTATGTACCAAATGCTGGTATGTTTACAGTAAATACAGAAAATAGTAAATATAAATGTTTTTAACTATATATATATAGTAAATATATATATATATATATATATATATATATATATATATATATATATATATATATATATATATATATATATATATATATATATATTTATATATATATATATATATTTTTTTTTTTTTTACTTTAAATATATATACTATATATATATTTACTATATATATATATATATATATATATATATATAAATATAAAGTATATATATATATATATATATATATATATATATATATATATATATATATAGTATATATATTTAAAGTAAAAAAAATATATATATATATTTATATATATATATATATATATATATATATATATATATATATAGATATATAGATATATAGATATATATAAAGATATAAAGTAAATATATATATAGTATATATATTTAAAGTAAAAAAAAAAAATATATATATATATATATATATTAGGGCTAAACTCTGCAGAACCCTCCAGAAACACTGAAGAAAACTGATAAGAAACAAAAAGAGGCAGCAGGGCTTATTTAAAATTACAGAAAACAAGTTACAGTATTTTACTCTTAAAAAGTGAGGTAAATAAACATTCTGCACAGTTTACAGTATATATATATATATATATATATATATATATATATATATATATATATATATATATATATATATATATATATATATATATATAAACACTAGGCTATTAATTGACTTTAGCTGAGCTTTAAGAAGAATATTTATTAATTTGTTCATTCTCTTTTTGGATAGTCCTTTTATTAATCAGGGGTTGCCACAGCGGAATGAACCGCCAACTTATCCAGCATATGTTTCAACACGTGGAGAACATGCAAACTCCACATTGTGCTACCCACTGCACCACCGTGCAGCCCGGCAGCCGTGTAATAAAATAAATTCTGAATAATGCAGATTGTATAACTTTGTTTTTCTCAACAGACTGAGTTGAAAGAGCTGCAGGTGAAATGCCAACAGAGGATCCTGCAGAAACAGAAAGAGCAGCAGCAGCTGAGAGAAGCCGTGACATCTCATAAAGTGAGTCTGGAGGAGGACGGAAGCCCTCTGGTTTAACACATTTCCTACAGAACATACAGCTGAGCACAAAGTTATTCATACTGAGTCTGAATGTGTACACTGTCATCTGAGTCTGAAGTGGGCAAATTCAGGAGGGTTTAATAAATAATCTGATGGGCATTTGGGTTGAAGCTTTACAGACACATTCCAGAGACACCAATGAGTTATCTTGCATGTTGTGAAAGGGTTAAAATAGGAGCTCTTTAAATGCACCGAAATGCACTCACCGGCCACTTTATTAGGTACACCTTGCTAGTACCGGGTCAGACCCTCTTTTGCCTTCAGATCTGCCTTAATCCTTGGTGGCAGAGATTCAACAAGCTACTGGAAACACCATCACACCATTACACCACCACCACCAGCCTGAACCGCTGATACAAGGCAGGATGATCCATGCTTTCATGTTGTTGAGGCCAAATTGTGAGCCGAGCATCCGAATGTGTCAGCAGAAATGGAGACTCATCAGAGCAGCAACGTTTCTCCAATCTTCTATTGTCCAGTTTTGGTGAGTCTGTGTGAATTGTAGCCTCAGTTTCCTGTTCTTAGCTGACAGGAGCGGCACCCGGTGTGCTCTTCTGCTGCTGTAGCCCATCCGCCTCAAGGTTGGACGTGTTGTGTGTTCAGAGATGCTCTTCTGCAGAGCTCGGTTGTAACGAGTGCTTATTCGAGTTACTGTTGCCTTTCTATAAGCTGGAACCAGTCTGGCCATTCTCCTCTGACCTCTGGCCTCATCAACAAGGCATTTGCGCCCACAGAACTGCCGCTCACTGGATATTTCCTCTTTGTCGCAGCATTCTCTGTAAACCCTAGAGATGGTTGTGCGTGAAAATCCCAATAGATCAGCAGTTTCTGAAATACTCAGAGCAGCCCGTCTGGCAGCAACAACCATGCCATGCTGAAAGTCTCTTAAATCCCCTTTCTTCCCCATACTGATGCTCACTTTGACCTGCAGCAGATCCTCTCGACCATGTCTACATGCCTAAATACAGTAAACTGCTGCCATGTGATTGGCTGATTATACATTTGCGTTAACGAGTAGTTAGACAGCTGTACCTAATAAAGTGGCCAGTGAGTGTTCATTGTCTGCATTCATTGAGAATGGGTAGTGTACTCATTTATTTTGTGTACTTTATATCGCAGCGCTCCGCCAATGCAGCGGTGCAGGACTGTCAGAGGATCTGCTCAGAGCTCGTCAGCTCCATCGAGAGAAGCTGTGCAGAGCTGAAAAAGCAGATCAGAGATCAGGAAAAGACGGCAGTGCGTAAAGCTGAAGGAGTCTTGAAGAAACTGCAGGAGGAGATCGATGATCTGAGGAGGAGAGACGCAGAGATGAAGCAGCTCACAGAAACACAGGATAACATTCATTTCCTGCAGGTAACAGAAAGTGTTGTGTTTGCTTTAACAATTTATAGGGTTACAGATGTGGAGTTTTAAAGGAAGCAGCAACAGGAGTCTCCATAGACCGACAGAAGCATGACGCACACCTGACCAGCACTGACAACACACACACTGCTGTTTTACATCTGTCGCTACGCTCATGTATAGGCATTAGTAGCTCCGCCCACATCTGAAAAGAGCACAATCTCATTTGCATTTAAAGCGACAGTCACCAAAGCACCACAATTGGGATCAAAGCCTGATGCTGTGTTCACACCAGACGCGGAACGCGCGGATAAATCGTGCGGTAAATAGCCGCGTGAACATTTGAGTTTACTCTCTTCATTCGCGCGTCAAACCCCGCTTCATTCGCGTGTCAAATTCACTTCAGAACAGACGCGGATTTGCGTGATGGGCAGGGCTTCTGTCTGCCTGAAGACTCTAGCTTCATAGCTAAATGGCTAACATGGATGTCATGAAGAAAATAACAGTGTTTATGTGCTTTATGAATGCTGAAAAACAGCGTTGATACGTTTAGGGTCGTGTCTGAGTCCACTACATTCTTTCAGAGGTGCAGCAGCTCTGTGAGCTCATAAACTCCTCCAGAAACTGAACCTTGATGACGGAGGCTTTCAGCGGTGCTTCTGACTGAGCCCAGCCCAGTTTGATGAACTGTTGTTGGTGAAGGCTGGAGGATTTCCCTCGGAACACTGACAACAGGTTCTACGTCACAATCACGCCCCCACAAGAGCAAGCTTCTGATTGGTTAACGCGGCACGAATGTACGCTGAAGTTCAGATTTTCGAATTCGAGAGATTCGCGCGAAACGCTCGTTTAGCACGTCAAACGCACAAAACGCTCAATCCGCCCCGTGCCTTTTGCGTCATTCGCGCCGCGCCATTCGCTATTCGCCCGTTTGCATTGGCTTAACATGTACATCACTCGCGCTTGATGCGCGTTTCGCGTCTGGTGTGAATGCAGCATGAAAGGGTCAGTTTCAGAGAGTTATACGATTATTTGTGTTGTATTTAGAGCAGAAACTTGACACACACACTCTAGAGACAGCAGAGACGCATTTTACACCTTGTGAAAATACACCTTAATTCTCTTTAAAGCATCTTTTCTGAGCTACTTCATAGGGAACCGCTGTTTTAATCAACTCAACAGGTGGAAAACAGAAGCGTTCTGCTGTTGGTTTGTGGACAGTCATGGCTGAGACAATTATAAGTCATTTTACATGCATACATGTGATTTATATAGGTGACACTTTATTTTGATGGTCTGTTTGAGTATTAGTAGAGTGTCTGCTTAATATCAGCTGATTCTGCACCTTCAACAGATATTTAACTGACTATAAAAAACTTTTAAAGTACGTCAACGTACCCCAACCCCAACCTAACAGTCTACTTACTGTATAATCTAATGAGAATGAGTTGGCATGTAGATGCAATGTACCTTAAATTCAACAAGTGGACCATCAAAATAATGAAAATAATATAATTATATTAATGATATATAATAATAATAATTATATATATTATATATATAATAATATTGATAATTTATATTCGATGATTGTGCTTATATTTGTGTGTGTCTGTAGAGTTTTCAGGCTTTGTCTGTTCTTCTTGGAGAATCTACAGACCACACAGCGCTGGAGATGACTGTCAGCGCTCATCCGCCTTTTCATTACGTGAAAGAATCTCTTTCTGCCATGAGGGAGAAGCTCGATGACTTCTGCAGAAATGAATTGAAAACTATTTCTGACAGAGGTAAAATGTAGGATTTATTTGCTCTCAGGAATGAGAAAGCATGATTCAGTGCAGTGCATATTAAGATCGTCTTTAACCAGCATGTCTTCTGGTCTCTTCAGTGAAATGTGTGGAGATCATTCCCTCACCCTCTCCTGAACCACAGAGCAGAGAGCAGTTCCTGCATTGTAAGTTAATACATGACTAGGCCCACACAGAATCTGCAGCTTTTCAGCCCATCATTGAGTCTGTTTATTTACTTGTGTAAATGTGTTTACATTTCTATCAATTCAGTTTTGAAATTGGCTTCAGCAATAATATTGACTAAAATAAAAACGTTCATATGAATTATTTCCAATACAGTTTGTAAAGTAATTAGTGGTGGTCTGTTATCGACGTTAATGAGCTGCGTTAACGTGAGACTCTTATTGCGCGCTAAAAAATATTGGCGTTAATCTATTCTCAGGCGGCGCAGTAGGTAGTGCTGTCACCTCACAGCAAGAAGGTCGCTTGTTCGAGCCTCGGCTCAGTTGGCGTTTCTGTGTGGAGTTTCTCCCTGTGTTGGTGTGGGTTTCCTCCGGGTGCTCCGGTTTCCCCCACAGTCCAAACACATGCGCTATAGGGGAATTGGGTAGGCTAAATTGACCATAATGTATGAGTGTGAATGAGTGTGTATGGAGGTTTCCCAGAGATGGGTTTTGGATGTTCTCCCCGTGTTGGCGTGGGTTTCCTCTGGGTGCTCCTGTTTGCAAACACGTGCGCTATAGGGGAACTGATGAACTAAATTGGCCGTAGTGTGTGTGTGTGTTTGAATGATAGTGTATAGGTGTTGCAGCTGATAGGGCATCTGCTGCATAAAACATATGCTGGAATAGTTGGCGGTTCATTCCGGTGTGGCGACCCCAGATTAATAAAGGGACTAAGCTGAAAAGAAAATGAATGAATCAATGAATGAATAAATATTTACAGCACACACACTGAAATTATGTTCAAACTAAGTTTTATTTTAGATGCGATGAATCGCAATAAATTGTTGCCCAGCACTATAGTTAGAACGTACATGACATCTGTAATGTTTGTTTGTTTGTTTGTTTGTTTTTCCAGACTCCTACCAGCTGAAACTGGATCTGAACTCAATATGTCGAGCGCTCGGTCTGTCTGAAGGAAACACTGAGATCTTTCAGGGTGACACGTGGTATGAATATCCTGATTATCCAGACAGATTTGACTACTGGGACCAGGTGCTGTGTACAGAGAGTGTGTGTGGACGCTCCTACTGGGAGATTGAGCTGAGTGAAACTGGTTCTGTAGATATCGCTGTGTCATATAAGAACATACGCAGGAAGGGTGATTATAATAGGAGGGAGTGTTTATTTGGAAATAATGATCATTCCTGGAGTCTGGGTTTCAGCAGATACCCTGACTTTTCCAGATGCACATTCACTCACAACAGCACAGTGACTGCACTCCCTTTCATCCCAAAATCCCGTAAAATAGGAGTGTATGTGGATCACAGAGCGGGAACTCTGTCCTTCTACAGCGTCTCTGATAAAATGAGCCTCATCCACCGAGTCCGGACCACATTCACTCAGCCGCTCTATCCTGGATTTAGAGTTATCTATGGGACGTGTATGAAACTGTGTGATTTATCAAAATAGAGGTATCTTAAAGGGGAACTGTTATGCAGAAATCTTGATGAATGATGAATTCTTGATTCTTGATGAATGAAACACTTTGATTGATGTTCTCCCTTTGTACGTGTCATCAGAGGGGCGGAAGCCAAGCCTTTATCTGTCCCTCATTAGCATAATCAGCCCTGAGTGAGAAGCAGCCGTCTGACGGGAGTTTTGAATCAGCCACTATGGTGGCGCACATGCATTTATGGCTCTAACAAGAGCACAATCTCATTTGAATTGACGGTGGGAAAAGCCAGTATAAAATAATGTATGATGTTTTAAATATGTTTAAAACTGAGCGATTTATCAAAATAGGGATATATTAGAATATAGTTGAAGTCTTAAAGGGGTAATTCATCCAAAAATGAAAATTCTGTCATCATTTACTCTCCCTTTAGTTGTTCCCAAACACAAACACAGAAGATGCTTTAAAGAAAGACCGTTTGGGTGAGAATGTCAGTTTCCAGAAAAGAGAAGAGAAATTAGACTTTTCATAATTGATTTGGAGAAAGGTAGAGTTTGATTAGGAATTATTCGCCCTCCTGTTAAATCCTAATTCTTTTATATTTGTATTTTTACCATTTTCTATGTAATTGAAAGAACACATTTCTAAACCTAATAGTCAATAGAATAAATAAATAAATAAATAAATAAATAAATAATATTGCTGTAGGGGGCTAATAATAATGACATTAAAAATATATAAAACAATTTAAAAACTGCTTTTATTCTAGCCGAAATAAAACAAACAAGACTTTCTCCAGAGGAACAAATATTGGAGGAAATATTGTGAAATTGTTTTAATCGGTTTATAAATAAAAAATTATTATTATTATTTTTTTAAATAAAAGGAGGGTGAATAATTTAGACTTTAGACAACTGTACACTTAAAAAAACTCCTGGTTGCCTTAAATTTTTAAGCTGAATCACATTAACCTATTGAGTCTATTGAACTTATATTATGTTAAACAGACTCAAAACAGCTTGCATAACGTATAAAACTAAGTTAGAACATGATTAACTTAGTTTAATAAGTTACAATGAACTAAAAACATATGCTGTCATGACTAATTGATCATCATTTTCACAGTGTATGTGTTCACTTTGCTCCAGCATAACACTCTTCTGTTTGATTTGTGTGGAGGTATTTGGAGTTTTGACGAATTGAGTTTATACAAATTACACACTTTAAATAATCATTTCGTCAATTTGCACATGTTATTGGCATTTATATTTTGTTAACTGATGATTTGTTATAGATATGCATGTTTAAAATAAACTCCATTGTTTTGAAACTGATGAAAATGCAGATTTGGATCTTTGAACAGACTCTCTCTCTACTAGACAGTGTATTACAGTGCATCTTTTCATGCACACACTTTCATATAGACCGATAAACACTCTGCTTGTCAAAATAGGCATGCAATTTAAGTGTGAACATGTCTCAAAGTTTAGCTTCATCCCTGAACAAACACACCTGAACAAGCGAATCAAGCTCTGCGGGATTAGTAGAGTTGCAGGCATGTGAGTTTGATCTGGTTTAGAGCTCAGCAGGACGGTAAACCCTGTGCTGAATTGTTGCTAGAAGGGATACAGATGTGGCAGTAATTATACAGAGTATTGTTCATATTATTTATTAAAGTACACATTCAATTGTACATTATTAACCCTTTGATGCACAAGCTATAAAATGGATTTGGAAAAAATAAGCTTAGACGGGTCACTTTAGACCCATGTAGTGCATCAAAGGGTTAATGCCTACCTTTACCACAACTCTCACATTAATGTAAATCATATTATTTATTAAATTAGCTGTTAAATTGCATTTTATTAACTCGTACCACTACTCCAGTCCTTACATTAAAGTGAAAACAGTAATTATACAGAGTATTATTTGTATTAGTTATTAAATTATGCATTATTTGCATTTTATTAACGTCTATCCCTTACACAACACTCAAAATAACTTAAAAACAGCAATTATACAGAGCATTATCTGTATTATTTATTAAATTAGACATTGAATTATATTTTATTAACACCTACCCTTATCTCAACCCTCACAGTAATGTAAAAACAGTAATTATACAGAGTATTATTCACATTATTTATTAAATTATCCATTAAATTATGTATTATTAATGCCTACCCCAACCCCAACTCTCACAGTAATGTAAAAACAGTAATTATACAGAGTATTATTCACATTATTTATTAAATTAGCTGTTAAATAGATTTTTTTTTAACTCCTACCCATACCCCAACCCACACGGTAAAGTGAAAACAGTAATTATACAGAGTATTAATCACATTAGTTATTAAATTATCCATTAATTGCATTTTATTAATGTCTACCCCTAGCCCAACCCTCAAGATAAAGTTAAACTGTAACTATTATTCATAGTATTTATTAGATTACCCAATTATTGTATTTTAATAACGTCTGCTCCAACCTAAACCATCACAGTTCTGTAAAAGCGGCAATTATATACAGAGTATTATTCATATTATATTATTTTATTACCATAAACCCCAGACCCAACCCTCAAAATAACGTAAAAACTGTAAGTATATAGAGTATTATCTTCATTATTTATTAAATTAGCCATTAAATTATATATTATAATGCCTACCGCAACCCCAACCCTAACAGTAATGTAAAAATAGTCATTCATTATTCATATTAGTTATTAGATTATCCATTAATTGCATTTTATTAATGTCTACCCCTACCATAAACCTCAAACCCAGCCCTCAAAACAATGTAAAACCTGTTTTATTTTACCTGTTAATATTTATATTATTTTTAAATTATGCAATAATTGTATTTTATTAACATCTACCCCAATGCAACCCTCACGGTAATGTAAAAACAGTAATTATACCAACTATTGTTCATATTATTTATTAAATTACACATTGAATTGTATTTTAGAAACACTCATCTCAACCCTCAAAGTAGACGGTTTTGTTGCAATAATATAAATTATTCTGGTTACCTTCAGGCCTTGTGCATCCCTTTTAGACGTTCCCCTGAGCTGGATGTTTGCACCCTGACTGAGCAGGAATGCATATCTCTTCAGTTTAAGACTCTTACAGTAATGCCTGATGAGCTCCTAAAACAACAACAACAGTAAACTGACCATAATGAGATGCTGTCATTTCAGAATTTAATGCTCTTAAATGTTCATCTCTCTCAGCACTTCTTTATTACTTATATACACATTTTTTCTCTCAAATATTTCCCAAATGATGTTGAACAGATTCGGGAATTGTTCACAGTATTTCCTCTAATATTTCTTCTTCTGGAGAAAGTCTTATTTGTTTTATTTCGGCTAGAATAAAAGCAGTTTTTATTTATTTTAAAGCCATTTTAGGGTCAATATTATTCACCCCCTTCAGCAATATTAGTGTTGGATTGTGTCCAGAATAAACCACTGTTATACAATGACTTGCCTAATTACCCTAACTTTACCCTGATTACCCTAGTGAAGCCTTTACATGTCACTTTAAGCTGAACACCATAAGAATATAGTCAAATATGATGTGCTGTCATCATGGCAAAGATAAAAGATCTGCCTGTTTACAATAGTAATATAAAAATGCATTACCTAAAAGGGTGATTGCTATTTATTTCTGAACTGCAATCATTAAAGAAAGCAGAAAAATAAACATCTAACGGGGATTATCTGAAGTGTGGTGTGCCTATGTGGCCTCCAGAGGGCGCAGTCTTCACTGTGATGAGCTGCTCTACAGTGTAAATAAATACAGATGACTGGATGACTGAACATTGGTGAGTCTTTACCCTGAATACACAGCTAGAAATGAACTGATCAGCTGAGTGTTTAACGCATCATCATAGCAGTTTTACTTATTCATTCATTTTCCTTCAGCTTTGTGCCTTTATTCATCAGGGCTCGCCACAGCAGAATGAACCGCCAACTAATCCAGCATATGTTTTACGCAGCAGATGCCCTTCCAGCCGCAACCCAGTACTGGGAAACACCCATACACACTCATACACTGATCAATTCCCATATCCCCCCTGTACACAGGGAGAACATGCGAACTCATAAACACCAACTGACCCAGCCGGGACTCGAACCAGCGACCTTCTTGCTGTGAGGCCACAGTGCTAACCATTGAGCCACCATACTTTAAAAAAAAACCTTTTACATAAAGATTTACTGTAAGGATTTGTTATTGTGGTTGTAAAACAGGATTGCCTACATTGCATTTCATGGAAGGGCAGGAGGCACCACAAGACAAGGGCGTCCAAGAACAACATGGATGTCATCAGTGCTGGCAGGATATGAGGTCGGACCACACGTTTTAATGAGAATTGTGCGCAATAGAGAGAGGGGGTATTTAGTGTTGACTAGGGGAAGAGCCTGCGTTAAGTAATGGCCAAAAAGAGTAAGGATGGATAAAGAATTGACCATTTAAAATGATAAAATAAACATTTTTTTAATCAGAATTTTCAAAATGACAAATCTTTTATTTTGCATTCAATGTTATCAACATAATACTTTTAGCAGAATAAGTAGAAAAACTATCTTTCCAAAATGATTGCAAAAATAAATAATTCTTCGGAGTGCAGTTGTCCTGCAGTGACATACAGGCTACCTCCCGCAGGCCTGCATGTTTAATGGTTGCATCTGTAAGTGTAATTACGAAACAATTCCTGACACCACAAGCAAAATCTATTTTGTTAAACCCTGCTTGATCATCTTCTAAACTTGAATGCCAAAGACATGTATTACATATAATGACCACACGGGGGCAGCAATGTCAAGTTCATAAGCTAATACGAATGATCTGGAGTTAACCCAAGAGAAAGGTAAGCTCAGTCTATGGGGATGGCATTTGATGTTTTTCGCTCTAAAATGATGGGTTGTTTCTTCTCAAAGTTGAAAATATTGATTAAACTCAACGCTTGGGTTAAAAAAAAACAATTTTAAAATTAACTCTACTCTAATTTGGGTAGTACATTTATATACAAATTATTTGTACAGTTTTATCCGATTGTGTAAAACAAAAGTCGTTATTATAAAACTTTTTAATGAACTATAAAATAACAGATGTTTTCATTTCATGTTTAACACATATTGATTTCTGGTGTTGTGTTGTCTAAAATAAACATGGCATCTCTGCTATTGCTCTAAATATGCTAATATTTATTTTAAGTTTAAAAGAAAAGGTTTAGTTTGCAGAACAAAAAAAAAAAAAAAAAAAGTTTTACTCACACATATTCACTCTAGAAATGCCGTGTCATTTCAACCCAATTCTGGACGTAATGGAAACTAGACCAACTCCTGGGTTAATTTTTTTTTAATTAATTTAATAGTACTAAATTTAACCCAATGTTTGGTTTACTTCATATTTAGGCTAATTTGGGTTGAAATAGCCTGGCATTTTAAGAATAATGTTTATATTTTGCGACCTAGCTACCACAAAAAATATTATTATTATTATTATTATTATTATTATTTGTCCTTTATTTCACAGGGACAATCCAAATAAAGCCTCAGAATTGGCTAAACTTGGGCAGAAAATACAAATTACATAACAAAGACATAAACACAATATCATTTTTTAAAAGCTTTTATTTTGTGCATTTTAATCAAAATGTTTTTCATTTTTACAATGAATTGTCCTAATTGATTTTTATATTTGCTTATACTTACAAATTATTTCAAATGGTCGCTGTCGGATAACCCGGCCATGTAAACAGTGGTGTTAGTGACCGACAGATGGCGCTGTGGACTCATGGACTCCTCATAGACTTCTCCGACAATAATGACAAAACTAGGGGAAAGTTAGCCGAGTCTTTATTTAGTTTTCCTTTTTATCAAATGTTGTTCAAAATGTTGCCTCGTTAGTTTGCTCACTGTTTAAGACTTCTGATATTTTACATTTAGTTTATAGCCTGTTGTTTTTATTCTGGATGATGCTTCCAAAGCAAAAATAAAACATTTCACACACAAAAACACTGGTATTTCTGACTGATTTAAATTGTTGAAACGTTGTTTTTTTTTTCTTTGTCTTTTAGTTTTGAGAATAAGTTATTTCAGAGCACAGACATGCTGTCGTAGAGATTTAATCGCCCTTGTTTTCGAGTAAATCAGCATTAAAGTATTTCACATTTTGGCTTCCTTTTATAAAGCAAAATTAATCATTTCGGCTATTTGATCCACACATACACGGATTAAATAAAGCGATTGCTAAATATAGGCGTTTATTTTTTAACGACAATTATAAGTTTATAAACAGTTTTACTTAATAAAAAACTGCTGTTTAAAACTTTGACAGTATCGTCGACTGAAGCGAATTGTTTGTTTATATTAGCCTGCTATATGCTAACTTGCTATAAGCGTGTATTTCTATTATATGCTATTGTTAGTGTAATAGAGTCAGCTTGAATTTAAATCATATTTGTTTTACTAATGGAGATCATCTCAAACCTAATACAACACTCTGTTTTATCTGACAGAACACGATGTAGCCTATTTTTAGGCTATTCGTCTGAAGCAATTTTGCTCTTTACAGAACAGCAAAGTGAAGTGGATTTTTGTTCTCATATTATGAAGGCATGCCGTTTCTTTGCTTCACGATTATAGTCGTGTTTTTAACAAGGCTGTTGTCGGCTTCTGCGGAGGTAGCAGGTTTAATTGGCTGGAATGGGAGTTCGGGGTGGGCAGGAGTTTGGGGTTAAGCAAGAGGCGCGCACTGAATTGTACAAATAGCCTGGGGCACAAGAAAAAGTTCATGCCCGGGTCCCTGTAAGGAGAAACCAGTGAAGTATCAGCTAGTCCATGGTCACTTAATCAGAGCGACCTGTGGGGGATTAGGAAGATATTGTGACCGCAACTTGGCCTCACAATTATCATTCACAATTAAATGTTGTGTCCCTCCCCCGATCTTCATTTCGTAAGGGATGAGTGGCCGTCTTACATTTGAAGAATTAGGGCGGATTGTTTTGATTTACTTGTAAATAGCTATACAATGCACATTATAATAAATATATAATTATATAGTTTTACTTGTTCAAACTACATAATTAAAACAAGCAAAAAACAACACAATTCTTGAGATTTCGTTGGGGCAACTTATTTTTTTATGTTCAATCCACATAAATTTGTTAAAAGAGTTAGGTTAACTTAATCGATTTGTGTTGGGACAACATTAATGAATTGTGTGGAGGTCTGCACTTTTTACAGTAGGCCCGCATGTAAAACACATATTAAATTAGTATGAATATATATTTTGTAGATTTAAAATATATATATTAGATAACAAAGGAAAGGAATTAGTAATTTATAAAATGTGCACGTCATATTTCAAAGCTTACATATTTAAAAATAATCCAAATAAAAGTGTATATGCGCTATAATCATCCTCTGCGTCGTATAAATGAATGTTTAGGGGATTGCTTTGTAAGTAAACCACTTTACGAAGCCATCGGTTTTATTGACATGCCATAAATTCGCGTAGAGGCGCTAAGGTGAAGGATGACATAATTCTCACCCGTTTGACCAACGGTGACACATGTGAGGTGTTTTGCTTTACCCATTTGTTTCTCAGGGCTTTTAATCTCGCTCGCACTTGGAGCAAACTTTCGCACCTCGGCTCTTTCTCCAGAGTCTTCTTAACTTACTTAATTCCAGCATAATGAGCTCTCTGGCCTGGATGCTGTGCTTTGATCCGCTCAGCAGTGTTGATTGAGACCGTTAACTAACAGCCCGTGTTAATAAAGAACTAGCAGTGCGACTTAAAATGCAGGAAGCCTCCGACCGGAGATTATTTACACTAAGTCCCGTATTGATTATTTGAAAACAAATGTCCTCTAAACTTACTAATAGGCTTCATGTGGTAGTGCGAAATACACGTCATTATATATGATTACCACTTGTTTTACACTGAATTAAAGTGTTTGCATAAGTTATTAATTGTATAATACATGGAGGTGAAATCTGTTTTATTCATTATATATATATATATATATATATATATATATATATATATATATATATATATATATATACATACATATATACATAATAAAACAGATTTTACCTCTGGGTATTATACGATTAATATATATATATATATATATATATATATATAAATAATATAAATGACGCATTAAGTAGCTATTATTAAATGATTAAGGCACACGATATATATTAATATAACATTTCAAATGCTGTATTTTAATCTTGTCATTAAAATATTTATGTTTTGCTGCTTAACCTCGCTGTATGGCTGTAGTTTGCGGAGAAACTATGGTTCTTTAGCGTCTGGAGAAGTGTGTGTTTGGCCAGGGTGGGCTGGGACGTCCCAACACCTCTCGTTTTTCTTCAACCTTGTGTGTGGCCGCTTGCTTGCACGGCCCGACCTCCCATTGGACAGCTTAGATATTATTGGGAGGAGTCTTACTGGCAGCAAAAGGGGAAAAGTATTGAAGTGCGCAAAAACTATTATGTAGTGACCGATGCTTAGCGTTTAGAAGTTTTCCGATGCGCGCTCCGAGAGAAAGAGGTGGCCAGTACGCGAGTCTTATCAACACCCGGTGCAATAGTCCGGTTTTGTAAATACGGTGGACTCTGTGGTGGATTCCCATTCCCAGATTCAGAGGAGGCGCATTTCAAGCAGGATTGTGTGTGTGTGTGTGTGTCTGTGTGTGGATTGCTTCAGTCTTCTTGACGACTGTTCTTCGCCAGCTGTACGCCGTTTTGGAGAGCAGTCATGCAGGCGCGCTATTCCGTCTCCAGTCCCAACTCGCTGGGAGTTGTGCCGTACATCAGCAGCGACCAAAGTTATTACCGAGCCGCCGCCGGAGGGGGGTACACCGGCATGCCAGCCCCCATGACCATGTACTCTCACGCGGCCCACGACCAGTACCCCGCCAGCATGGCGAGGGCATATGGGCCATACACTCCACAGCCGCAGCCTAAGGATATGGTGAAACCCCCGTACAGCTACATTGCGCTCATCACAATGGCAATCCAGAACTCCCCGGACAAAAAGGTGACCCTTAATGGTATTTATCAGTTCATCATGGAGCGCTTTCCCTTTTACAGAGACAACAAGCAGGGCTGGCAGAACAGCATCCGGCATAATTTATCCCTGAACGAGTGCTTTGTCAAAGTTCCACGCGATGATAAGAAACCCGGAAAAGGCAGCTACTGGACCCTCGACCCGGACTCGTATAATATGTTTGAGAACGGCAGCTTTTTGAGGCGACGACGGCGATTTAAAAAGAAGGACGCCATGAAGGACAAGGAGGACCGAGGTGTTAAAGAGGCGCCGTCCCGCCAGGCGCAGCCGCAGGCCCGCGAGCAGGAGCAGTCGGTGCCTGGCTCTCAGCCCGTGCGCATTCAGGACATTAAAACCGAGAACGGCACGTCCACTCCTCCGCAGGCTGTTTCGCCCACGCTAAGCACCGTCCCGAAGATCGAGAGCCCCGACAGCAGCAGCAGCATGTCGAGCGGCAGCCCGCACAGCATCCCTTCCACCCGCTCCCTCAGCCTGGACAGCGCTGGAGAGCAGCACCACCAGGCCCCCGCGCAGGGCTTCAGCGTGGACAACATCATGACCTCCCTCCGCGGATCGCCGCACAGCTCCGGAGAGCTCACCCCGTCTCTCGTGGCTCCCTCGCGGACAGGTATAACACCCACGTTGTCCCTGAATTATTCTCCCAATCAGTCGTCCGTGTACAGCTCGCCCTGCAGCCAGAACTCTATCTCGACTACCTCCAACGCCACCTATCACTGCAACATGCAGGCCATGAGCTTGTACGCGGGCGGAGATCGCTCGGGCCACTTGGGGACCACCGCTACCACCGTGGACGAAACTCTGCCTGATTACTCGATCACGACCACCACGTCGTCGTTGAGCCACGGGAATCTGAGCTCGGCCCAGGAGGGCCACCATCCGCACCAAGGGCGCCTCGCCTCATGGTACCTGAACCAGGCCGGAGACATTGGCCATCTAGGCGCGACGTACCCAGCGCAGCAGCAGAACTTCCATTCGGTTCGAGAGATGTTCGAATCGCAGAGAATCGGTCTGAATAATTCGCCGGTAAACGGGAATAACAGCTGTCAAATGTCGTTTCCCCCGAGCCAGCCCATTTACCGCACGTCGGGGGCTTTTGTGTATGACTGCAGCAAATTTTGACCAAACCAGTATTTCGATTAATTTTTATTTTTGTCTTGTTGTTCTTGATTTTTCCTCCGTTCTTTTCGTCGATACTGACAGACGCTGATATTTACTACCCCGTGGTGGACTGAACAGAAACACAAACGCGAGTCAGACACTTGATCTTGGTTTGTTAAGGGCTGTGTTACTCCCAATAACACGTAAGTTTTCTTCGTTTTTGTGAGCTATATGCTGGGCTGTGTTGAAATGCGTCAGACGTTTATGGACTTGTTATTAAGTGTAAATTGCATATAGTAATTTATTTCTAAAGTGTAGTCGGATATTATGGACCAAACACCAGAACGTGTTTCTAAATTGAACTTCATTCATTGTCCAAATGTTCCATTATTATAACAAGGGACGGAACATGTATAACGCCATATTCTTTCAAACTATCTCCTTTTGTTGAAACAGTATTCTGAAGGAACTGCATTGTTTGTTTAATAAATTGCCATGCTATTTGAGTTAAAATTAGGCTACGCCTGATTTCTTAAACCCATGCCAAGAACAGACATGTGTGCGGCTAGTGGAGTAATAATGCACAATAACTTGAAAACGGTTCCAATTACCGAAATAAATGATCCAAATAAGCGCGTCTAGATGATTGGAGTTTACTGCGGCACACTTGAACGATCGTCTTATCTTAAAATGACCCAGACCGCACGCGTAGAAATGAATACACACCGATCACGCACATTGATTCATGTGCAAATAATCAGCTGTTACGCATGCAAATTGCAAATCTTTCAGCTTTTTAGGGAAATGTGCAATGCTAAATATGCATTCATGAGTTCTGCTAGCCACTGCCTTGTGGGATTTTTTCAATCATTTATACCCATATGTAGCCATTTATATAATTTTAGTGTTCGTATAATGCAGGAACCTAATACAGTATTTTCCCTAATAATTAATGCATTGATTAAAATGTTTAAAGTGTGACTGATTTACATTTAAATAATCAAATTAAGACTATTGTTTTTGTTAGTTTACAAATGTTGCTTGTTAATAGTATTTGTAATAAATTAGACTCAATTATATTTAATTTTATAAACAGTAACTTATCGCTTTATTTTTTTTAAGTAAAAAGTGATTAGTTTTAACACCAATAAAAGTCATCCTAAAGGTTTAGCCCGTATGCTGATAACTATAATGCTTTTAACAATGCAGTAAATAGCAATAAAACCAAAGTTTGTCGTGCATAACTATTTATATTTTAGTTGCTGTAAGTGTGCGACGTGTTTTTGATGATTTGCTCTTACGCAACTCAGTGTGCCAGACGTGCACTGTCTGTCATCATCCTGACCTGAGGCCTTTGGTAACAGTCTCTCAGTCATTGTAATTCACCGCGTGTGTTCAGTGTCCACGTGTTTACTTGCGCATAGCTTGGTTAATATCATACCAGACATGCCAAAGATGCCCAAAATCACCACTGGAGGATTGGACATGAGTTATAGAAGGCGCAGCGCTTGCGCTTCATAAATAAGAAACGCATATTCAGAAAAGGGCCTGGTAAAATCACTAAAGCAAGAGTTGTAGATTGTATTCCTGCAATTTATTTAAACAAGTCGAAACGTGTGAATTAAAAAACGTGATGCATATTTTTATATAGAAGCCCTGTTTAGACCTGAGGGGGACAAAAAAGCGAGTTGGAGTTTTTATATTCTAATTAATTTTAAATGTGTAGATGTAGACACCATAAGCACGAAATGATCAAACAATGCAAATAAAAATAAAATAATGATATAAAATAATACGAATAATAAAATGTCGGAAAATGGAAGCGTATTTATCATGAAAACTGTAGGCATATCGATTATTATTATTATTATTATTATTAACATTATTATTATACCAGACAATATTGTGTTCTTATGTGCATATTTTTCAGTCTACAGCCCAGTAATAGGCCCAAAGACCTCGAGGGCAAACGCACACGTGTTCTCATTGCCTCCGCGCTTCACTTATTTTCATTGCATGAGCGGTTGGTAGTGATTACAGCGGTTAATTAATCGGCCAATTAACTAGCGTTCGTCAACAAAACGTCTCGGATTTTGCCTCTTTCCCTCGGTATGGTATGTGGCGAATGTGCCCGTATTGAGCTCGCCAAAAACAATATAGAATTTTGCAAACTTTTAAGCTAAAATAGGCTTTATTTCACACTCTTAGTGTTCATATGTTTAAATGTTAAACATGTTTAAATAATTAAATAATTAAATAATTAATGTTATACCGCTTTAGACAAACTGTGGAAATTTCAACAGAGATTAGACTATAAGCTTATAATTTTATATAACCTGCAGTTTATTACTATTACTACTACTACTACTACTACTACTATTATTATTATTATTATTATTATTATTATTATTATTATTATTATTATTATTATCACTTATAATATATGCATTATTGCTTTTTTTATTGTTGTTGATATTAATTTTACTATTATAAGTAGTAGTAGTAGTAGAAGCTATTATTATTATTATTGATAATAATAATAATAATATTAATAGGTATAAATTTCAAGCCTTCAGACATGAAACGTGACATCACTTAAAATGTTCGTGATATATATATTTGTCTTAGCTGTAATAAAAAAAATTGTTGTTTGGTTCAGCCCAGTTCTGTGTGTAATAGGGACTAACTCAACTTTTTTGGTTATTTATTTACCCAATTTGGGTTTAAATAACCCCAAAATTTCTTAAAGCGTAGCCAATCAAGTGTCTTTACGTATTACAAGTTGTTTTAAGTTGAAATGACTTGTAAAATTAATTTGATTCAACTTTAAAAAATGGTTGACACAAATTCTTCAGTGTACAAATTACATTACAGCTTACAAATTATTGTACAAAATATCGTCTGATCACAATGAATTTTGGCCTACGCAGCGCATTCTCTCACACAAAAAAAGTTGTAATCATGCTCATAAAAGTCATTAGAGCCTTTCCCGAGTAATAAACAAACGTCGTGTTAAGCCCAAGATTGATGGCGCCCTCACAGAACGGGCCAGGTCAGGAAGGAATAAAATTCAATCAGTGCGCAGGAATCATTTTTCACGAGACGGAAAAGGCAGAAGGGGACGGGGGTCAGCAGGGAGGATGTCGGCCGCCGAAGCACCATCAACAATACCAGCTAAACCAAGGTGCTCTCAAACCCCAAATCTCTCTTAAATCTGGATGATTTCGAGCTCCCACTCAGGCAGTCAGTTTCATCGATCAGAGTTGCGTGAATTAGTGGACAGTTCAGGTGAAGATTTTTCTGCGTGCGGGCCTTAATGGGAGGTCTTAGATTTTAGTTTTAATTTTGAAGACGTACATTTTGACATTTGTCTCCCCTTTTTAGAAATATGCCCGAGAAATTGGCGGTTCATTCCACTGTGGCGACCCCTGATAAATCTGAGACAATAAGCTGGGGGGAAATATTGAATGAATGTCTCTCTTTTTTTTTAAACAAATCTTTTTTTTTCACAACTGTTGAGTTTCATTTGTCGCTCTTATTGGAGGTCTTGGATTTTAGTGAGATTTAGATTTTTGAGCCAGGCTGAAATGTTGACATTTTGTCCTTCCTTTTAAATCAGATAATTCCAGATTATCTATGGTAAATACATCTGATGCACACACGTAAAATGTTTGGTTGTATTAATGCAATCTTGAATCAAATATTGGCAAAGACAGCGTTAGGTTAATTCTATTTTTAACATTAAATTTTATTAGCTTTTTTATTTACCCAACTGTTGAGTTTCATTTGACGCTCTTATTGGAGTTCTTCTATTTTAATGAGATTTATATTATTTTAGTCAGACTTAAATGTGGACATTTTGTCTTTCCTTTTAAAAACAAATCATTCCAGATTATATAATAAAGATAATTTAAAGTTCATCTGATGCACACTCTAAATGTTGGGTTGTAATAACGCAATCTTGAATCAAACATGGGTTAAACGCTTTGTGTTAATATTTTAACCTTTAAATTTAAACTATTTTATTAACCCAACTGTTGAGTTTAATTACATGCTTTTACTGGAGTTCGTGGAATAAGTAAGATTTTGATTTTTGAGCCAGACTGAAACTGACATTTTGTCTCACCTTTTCATTCCCCCAAATAATTGGCGGTTCATTCCGCTGTGGTGATCCCTAATAAACGAAGGACTAAACTGAATTAAAATGAATAAATGTTTCTACTTTTTAAACAAACTATTCCAGATTATCTAAAGTTCATACATCTGATGCACACACTAAAAATGTTGGTTTGTATTAACGCAATCTTTGATCACATATAGACTAGCCTGGGTTGTTTTTTTTAAATAATACATTTGAATATACATTTTTACCCAACTGTTGAGTTTCATTTGATGCTGTTGTTGGAGGTCTTGCACTTTAGTGAGAACTTGATTTTTGGGCCAGACTGAAATTTTGTGCGTTTAAAAAGAAAATGTTGTGCTGGAAAATACCCTCATTTAACCCAGAATGCTGGGTTGTTTATTTGACCTTACTGCCACTGAGCTAGGTTAACCGAGTTGCTGGGGTAAATATAATTTAAACATCAGGTTATTTGTTGTCTTGTTGTTTTGCTACTGTGTTTTATGTCAATATAGCTAATAATAGTAAATACCAACCACAAATAAATACAAACTTAACATTGTTTTTAAAAGTACACAGCACAAACTGCTGCAGTAAATATCTATTTAATCAGATTTCACACTTTTCTCTCCTTTTAAATTATAGTTTATAAATCTGATCCACACTCTTAAATGTTGTATTAATGCAATCTTGGGTTAAATATGCCGTAACCTAGCGCTGGGTTCATTCTTAACACACACACACACACATATACATATATATATATATATATATATATATATATATATATATATATATATATATATATATATATATATATTTTTTTTTTTTTTTTTTTTTACTAAACTGTTGGTTTGTATTTGACTCAGCGTTAGGTTACTTCAAGCATTTTTAGAGTGCTGCAATATTTTGTTCAACAAATGTGTTTATTAATATGCATTTGAATCTCCTAACAATTATTTGAAATGCTATTTGAGCTAAAGATCATATCATGTATTAATAAAGAACAACTGAATGATATTTCGCAAGGCAAGCGTGCGTTGATGCGACAACCAAATAGAAGTTCCAAAATAATATTTCCCGCAAATTTTATTTATGCAAAATACATAATTTAGAAAGGCTACATTTTCTGCATAAAGATAAATTGTTGGATATGATTTTAATAAAATGCCTCACAATTCTGAATATGTTTTAAACATTGTTTTCATCTGCTGAATGCACAAATCCAAATGAGTCCGCTTCATTATAAACAAAACACACCATTTTAATCAGACACCCACCAGAAAAGTAATTAAGATCAGCAATTCTTTTGAAGTGTCTGTAGTCAAAACATCCCAATTTTAATTTCCGCTAAATGTCAGAAGGAAAATATGATCAACAAAATAATATCTTT